AAGTATATAATAGGTGGATATAATATTTAAAAGAACTCAATCTCTCTCTCTCTCTCTCTCTCTCTCTCTCTCTCTCTCTCTCTCTCTCTCTCTCTCTCCCCCCTCTCTCATACTCACAGAGAGGAAGGGAATCAGGTATATGGACTCACACACTGAATAAAACCTGGAAAAGCCTTCACGTTTGTTAAGAAATAAAAAATGGACTGCTGAATATATTACGTGTAAATCTCAACTATTTTGATCAAATTACAAACCTTGCAAAGAAGCAGCCTATCATAAGTGCACTAAGGATTCTATCCCACAGCGCCATTTACAGGACCTCATGACATTACTCATCACAGCCACTAGGTAGATCGGAACTTTTCAAGAATCTCAAAGATGGTAAAGACCCAGAACTGCCTGGAAAGACAAGGCCATCTCTCAAGGCCTGTGGATCAAACTTGTCTTCTCTGTGATGTCAGATTTTCACTTGTGGAAATGACACAAAGAGAAGATAAGAAAATGCTGAAGAATAAAATTAAAATCTGTGCATGGTCATCTATGAAGCGAGTGAAAAAATAACCTCAATGAAACATCAAGTAACACTGGAGGGAACATAATCTCTATAAATCAAATGTAAGGACAACAAAAATCTTAAGCAGAAATAATCTATGGGTATTATTTGCTAGAGATAATTTCAAGATGTGCAATAGCAAATAATAGCAAATACAAAATACCACAAAACTGTGCTTAATCTAAAAAGCAAAGCCTAAGTCCAACAGTTAAACTATGTAAAGTAAAAAAGCTTAACAATTTACATAAATAATTCAAGACAAGAATGAAGCAATGGCTTCTCACAACAGGGTTCCATCCCTGAAAAAGAAACTTCCAGAAGAAAAGTTATCTTGATTTAAAATCTAATTATAAAATTGGAGCCTTTAGTGGTCTATAAGGGGTCTGTCAGAAAGACGCTGCACATAAATAAACACATCCCTAGAAGGAGTAAGGGGTCTGTGTGAATCCTAGCTTCACAATTTTCCTTTAAGTGATAAAGAACTCAGGGCTCCATTATTAGTGAAAGAGTCCCAGGATAGTTGAGTATCACAGAATTTAAGAAGGAAGTAACAAATTCAGAAAACAGAGGTACTTCAGTGGAGAGCAGTAGAGGAAACACTAAAGTTAACTTAAAGCCACTTATTTCTATTTACATGATTTATCTTTCTAGGCAAAAATTCCTTTAATCTTCTTTGCTGATATCCTTTTAAATAGCACAAACAACTTGTTCTGCAACTAAAAGGAAGCTCATGCAAAATTCAATAGCTTCGCCTGGTTCAGACTGGAGCTAGCTGGATGTTCAAATTCTGAGAGGTCAACTCAACCTACACAGTACAGAACATGGGCTCAGCTTCTGGTGGCAGCACTGCCAGTTTCTTCTGGTTTCTCTTTTTAACACTCAGGGTGAATCTTACTAACCAAAGTCTTCCTCCACCTCCCCCTTGTCCTGCACTGACATCTCTCCACCCTGGACCCAAGCTGTCTTCCACTAACAGGATGACATCCTGGGGACTGGAGCAGGGTTCTCTTGGGACTAGAAGTGCCTTCCCTTTATCCTCATGTGTCCTTTTCCCTATCCACAAACAAAGCTTTGTCAGGACTCAAACCAGGTCATTCATTCCTCCACTGAGTTTGACATACCTTTTGGAAGGATCTTTCTGAAGACACAGTGAAAGTAACTTTCTAAAAGACTTGCCGTATTTTTTCATCATTTCTTTATCTTCTACTCCAGTTTCTAAAGTGGGTGGATCATTTTGCAAAGTCAACATTAGCACCTGCAATCAAAACAAAGGTGAAGTCAGAGTCCTAGTTTAATAAGAGTGACAATGGAATTTTTTTATAAAAGCTTCAAAGACCTTCCTTTATTAGGTATAAATGTGCTTTTTAAAAAAATTTATTATTTTTATTTTATGTGTATGCATGTAATTGCCTGCATGTAGGTAAGTGCACTCCTGTCATGAAATGCCTGCCAAGGTCAGAAGAGGCTGTTGGATCCCTTAGGACCAAAAAGTTATAGACAGCTGTTAGCTGCCATGTGGGTGCTGGGATTTGAACCCAAATCTTCTGCAAGAACAATCAGTGTTCGAAACTGCTGAGCCATCTCTCCAGCCCCATAAATGTGCTTTTTGTAGACTGAAAATCTCTACTTCCTTTTGCAAATCTACTCACATACTCTTTCACCTTTTTGTATGCCCACTGACAGAACTTTGGAAATTTGCTCTGTGTGTTAAGAATGATCTCTCAAAGCAGTGGGGACAGAAATTTCTGGGAACTGGCTCTCACAGGGCCTCAAGGAGCACGTAGGTCCAGCACAGGCTGGTTATGGAAAAAGAGTGGGAACTGAGAGAAAGGGATATTCATGTGCGCCGGCCATTCATAAGTTATGGAACCAGCTGTACTCTGGACATATTACCAGCTCTAAAAATAAACCATAGCATCCCAGGAGGTAACATGATTTCCTTTTAAAGTGAAACAAATGAGAAAACTGCTTTAAAGAAGGAGGGGAGGAGTAAGATACTGAAAGATAGCCGAGCTAGTTATGAGTTACAAACAGATATCATATCTAAAGCCTATGCTACAGGCACAGGGACAAGACAAAATATGATTTCAAATCAAAAGGGGGAAAAATCCACTTTTTGACCCTAACATCAAAATCATTTGCTGTGAGAATGAGAGAATGAGGAAACTATCGACCTGCAAAACAAACAAACCTCCTTAATGCATAAAGCAGCCTTGATTTATGCAAGTTCTGTACATTCAAGATTCTTTTCAAACATTTTCAGAAATGTGAACAGATGAAGGATGAAAGCAACAGCTGATTTCTGTGGACAACAGCCAAAGGGACTTCGGGTGACTGAAAACTCCAGGGAAACGTCCTGGTGGCTCCAGGCCGGGTCCCAGGCCGGGTCAGCAAGTGCTTCATTTGATTCAGGTGAGAAAAACAAAAGTGGAGGCAGAGAAAATAACAAACAAGGAAAACTGGGTGGACACAAAGTCCTCAGAGTCCCTTTAGTTTTTCCCAAATGTTCCTGGGAAGCTTCAACTTTAAATTTTCTGCTAAAAAAAAAATCATAGAAAGAGGTATGCATATGCATACATGTATGCATGTTATTAAAATCTTAACTACATTAAAATATATAGAGAAATAGAAAACAATATATGGGGTTGGGGTAGCTCAGTTGTAGTATGTGCTTACCACAAGTGAGGCCCTGGGCTTAATCAATACAGAACTAAAATACAAATTAAAACAATTAACTCCATTACAGTATTAACATATCATTTCTGGTTGTGAGATTGTGGGTAATCTTTTTCTTATTATTATTTGTATTTCCATTTTTTTCTACAAGAAGTATTTTTTAAAGGGCAAGGGTTAGAAAAGTACTTGGGGATCAAACTCAAACCCTCACACTTCCTAAATGCATGCTCCACAACTAAGTTCTACCACCTTCCCCACTTTTTTTATTGCTATAATTATTTTATGTTTCCATCATCAGGTTTTAATTTTTAATTCCTTGAATTTTCCAGTAATCTGAACTTGAAACATGAAACAATCATAGACCACGGTCTATATAAAATATCTTCATATTTTTCACTGAACTATTTGAGCCTCAAAACAAAATCCAATTCAGGGAATTAAAACTGATGGTACCATCTCAGAAGTAGGCCAGATAGAATTAACAAAAACCTGAAAATAGTACCAAAGTATAGGCTGCTTAAAAACACTGTGACTCACTCACATCAGATGAGCCACAACATCACACTCTGAGAGCAGGGTGAAAATGGTATAGACTATTTAAAACAAAAATGCCTGAGTAGACGGGAAACCCATCTGCAAAGACAGTAATCTATTCTTAGATTTTCTTCAGAGGCCTGAGATTGTCCAGCTCTCTAAACAGTCAGTTGTCAGAGCTCTGACTCCCCATCGGCCAAGTTGCTCAACCCTAAGCTAAGGACATAGTCAAGTTGCAAAACTGTGAACTGCACTACTTTTGTAGGTCTGTGCATGACAAAATGAGATGGCATTCAATTTGGCTGCATTCCTCCATCAACTCTCACAAGTTTAAGAAAAAAATGAACATGTTCAAGAGAACTGGAGAGCCGATGCTACCCGATCACATTTCCAACTCAACATGTTATTCCAGTGGTAATTACTTTCATTGGAGGGTATTTGTGGTAAGGCGCTGCTCCAGTTGCTAATTCAATGGCAGTTATTCCAAAACTCCACATATCAGCCTTGAAGTCATAGCCTCTCACCTAAGAAAGAAGAAAAGAAAAAGAAGAAAATCAAGACTGATGCAGCAGGCATGTCATACAGCATTCAGTACATTATTTTGTCAGAAATCAGAGCTGTTTGTATAGATAACTTTCACTATAGTTTGCTAAAGGCTAGCAATCAGGACTTCAATCTACATTATATGATGCACTCCACTTCAATGATTGATGTGAATGAAATGTTAACAACTATCAAATAATAGAAGGGTGTTATGTAAGATTATTTAGACATTCTCTTTAGTGCACCAATGAAACGTACTACTGTATGACATCACACATGTATTTGTTTTTTACCTGTTCCATGACTTCAGGGGCCATCCAACATGGGGTGCCAACAAATGTTTTTCTGACTTTATTCCTTGTAACATCACCCCCTGTTGCTAAGAATGCACTTACCCCAAAATCTGAAAAGAAAAAAAAAATTAACCTTATTTTATGTTGCATACAAATTCTGGTTTTAAACCAATATCTTCCCATGTAGGGTGTTAATGAATTGCAGCAAACAATGTTCATGGAGCTTTCTCAGACACAAGACAGGGTTGTCCTCCCATCTTCCATCTGTCATGCCCCACACTACCAAAAACACCATTGGTGACAAGCAAGCTCGCCATACTATATAGTGTTTTCTACTAAATAGGTACCAAATGTCACAATTATTCATGAAGATTATAATAATACCAATGAAAACACAAACATTTCTGAAAATCCCTGAATATAAAATGCTTTGGCTTTTAGCCAAGATTCTATTGTTTTAATGACTAAAAGAATGCCACTGCAAAATGCAAAAGTAGTAGGTAGTATAGCTCCTTTTTTATTTATTTAGTCATGATTTTCTAGCCCATTTAATTCTGTTATCAATGCTCAAAAGTTAATTTTTAAAATTTATTTTTATTTTTAACTATGTGTTCATGTATGTGTCTGGGTTGGGCATGTGTTCACAAAAGCAAGAGGTGTTGGATTTCCCCAGGAGTTGGGGGTTACAGATGGTTGTTAATGCCTGGTATGGTCACTGGGAACCAATCCTCTGAAAGAGCATTTTGTGCTCTTAACTACTGAACCATCTCTGCACCCCTCAAAAGGTTAATTTTTTTAAACAACAACAACAACAAAAGAATCCATTCTACATTCCCATGTCCTGAACTAAACAATATTCACTAATACTTTAGCCAAAATCATAATGGCAAACACAAACCCAGGTACAGAAAAGGGTTGCTTCCAGGATAATTTTCACAAATATAGGTAGAATAGATGGAATGGCTTGTGGAATTAAAATAACATTTCATTTCATTTATTTGTGTGTGTGTGTGTGTGTGTGTGTGTGTGTGTGTACGTAGGGAGGCACATGAATGCCACAGTGCACTTGGGGAGGTCAGAGAACAATGTTCAGAAGTCAGTTCTCCCCTTCCACCTTGTTGAGCAAGGTCTCTCACCATGCTGAGTACTCCAGGATAGTTGGCCCACAAGTCTGCAGGTGATTCTCTTGTCTCTGCCTCCCACCACACAGTGGTAGTTCTGGGATTACAGATATGTGACACCAAATCAGGAATCAAGCTATTGTTCATGGGTTCTGAGATGCAAACTCAGGTCTTCAGGCTTGCATGGCAAGGACTTTTACTCACTAAGCCATCTTTCTAGACAAAAAATCATGCTCTTCTTAACATTCATCATATATTAGAAGTTTGTTCTGTGAGATTAATTGGATATACTGTATATGCATATAAGCATATATGCAAAAATAATCTCTGTATATGACCGTAGTAAACACCTCTTGCTTATTAAGTAATGCAGCTCTGCTTATACTTTTGCATAAAGATTAAAAGTAGTCAATAAATTAAAGAACTAACTACTCAGTACTAGCACACTTATTGGTAAAAGCCAAGCCAAGCCACGGACCCCTGGATAGTGAACTAGCAGATAAGTAATAAAGAGGGCAGTCAAAGGAGGCAAGAGAGATGGCTCAGTGGTTAAGACACTGGTGAGAGGACCCTGGTTCAGTTCCCAGCACCCACATGGCAGTTAACAATCATCTGTAAGTCTAGTACCAGGGACCCAACGCCCTCTTATGGCCTTTTCAGTCACTGCATGACATGGGTGCACTTAAATATACATAGGCAAAACACTCATACATTAAAATAATAATATATCAAAAAAAATTTTTAAGGGTAGCCAAGGCAAGAAGTGGTAGTGCACACCTTTAATCCCAGCACTCGGGAGAGAAGGCAGAGCCAGGCAGATCTCTGTGAGTTTGAGGCTAGCCTGGTCTACATATCAAGTTCCAGGCCAGTCAGGGCTACACTCTGACACACACACACACACACACACACACACACACACACACACACACCCCACACACACAAAAGAGGAGTAGCTAGCACCTCAAAATGATGCAGAATACTATGCAGTATGATTCCTTAAACTGCTCTGATACCATTCTCCTGTGCTGGTTCTCCAGGATGACTACCAGGATGACAGCAAGGATGAAGAAAAACCTTAAATTAAAACCCATACCCAAGCTGGGCATGGTGGCACACGCCTTTAATCCCAGCACTCAGGAGGCAGAGGCAGGCAGATGTCATGAATTCCAGGCCAGTCTGATCTGCATAGTGAGTTCCAGGCCAGCTGGGGCTACAGGGAGACCGTGTCTCAAAAAGACCGAAAAAAAAAAAAAAAAAAAAAAAAAAGCATATGTACATTTGCTTTAGCGCTCTAATACTGTTATGTACCTATATGACTTGATAATGTTGTAACTACTTCTATAAATGGAAATATGTTGGCTTTGTTTACATTTAAATATATTAAACTCCCAATAGGACTTTAGTTGCAAGTAAAGAAATGAAAATTGAAAAACAGAGTCTTTGTTCTAACTTCTACTTGGATATTAATATTGAACAAAAGTTATATTTTGAAAACTTCTAAACAATTTGCATTTATGGGTCCAACTTTAGAATTCTTTGAATTATTATACTACAATCAGAAAAACTAAGGCCTGTGGGAAAAAAACCCAATTGAGTATCTTGTGGGTGGGAGACCAAGTAATTCATCTTCTCACAGAAGATTTAAGTAAAGTGTATCATTTGTAAGCATCTACTACCCATGACTAAAGAAGATGAATATAATTTTGCAAGGCTTTTAAAATATTAATTTCACTGAGCTAGTGACACATGCCTTTAATCCCAACACCTGGGAGGCAGAAGTAGGCCAATCTCTGTGAGTTAAAGGCCAGCCTAGTCTACATAGTGAGTTCCAAGTCAGCCAGGGCTACATAGTAGGACCCTGTCTCAAAGAAAAAAATTAATTTAATTTCAATTATATTCCCCCAAATGAAGTTCAATAAGGAATTGGAACTGTACTTTCTATTTTTATTAAAATGATGTTATAACCTGACAATATTAAATAAACAGATATTATCTAAGACTAATGATATGAGTAAAAACTGTTTTGAGGAAAAATTAGGTTCTTTTCTAACTGCAGCTGAAGCAAGTAAAGTTCCTCAAAGACAGGATCAAGCTAAAAAAATTATATGCATTATTTTTTCAATTCCTTAAAATAATATCTGCTTACATTAGACATTGTAAAGGCTAGAAAGCCAGCTGAGAAAGATGTGCAGCAGCAGCTCAGTGCTGACAATGCCCCTTCAATGTATCTTCCGTGAGTCATATATTTATTCAGAGTCTCCACTTAGAATATCCACTTTAAAGTCATAGACAGATGGCTAAATGTCTTTAAAACTCAGAACAAAACACCCAGAAGTAGAAAAACCTCAAGCCTAACATCCACTCAATCTTAACACTGAAGAATAAATACAGAAGTTTGCTCCTATGTATGGCCAATGTGTACACAGAAAGATTTATATGTACTGAGGAACAGAACATTTGACCAAAGTACATCATGTGCTTATACAAACAGGGAAATCAGTATATTCTGTTAAGACCGCATACATGTGACAGTGAGAACAAGGTGTCAGGATAGTAAAGTATAAGCCAAACTTTCCTAGGACCACCTGCACAGAGCTGAAGGGATTGGGGCCAGACATATTTGGGTTTGAACCATATACATTTCTCTGGCAACAAACAGTCAAATGCTACCCATGAAGTTAGCCAGCCCATCTTCCTGCCTACAGGAATTAATTGCAGGATATGGGTAAAAGCTACCGTAATGAAAAAAGCCAGAAAGAATGCTATCATCTTCGTAAGTAAAGGCAACCTCTTGAATCTATCTGCTTCTTTCCTTCCCCACAGCCAAGGCCTCAGCTTCAGACACCATTTCTTCTTGCCAAGATGCCTATAGGAGCCTCCTGAGTCTCCATTTCCTGCTCTCCCTATTCCAGGCTCCAGCAAGCATGCCTCTCTATGTCACAGATCTGAGGTCTCCTTAAAGTCTATAAAGCATGTCCCCTTAGGATGAAGTCAAGCTCCTTTAGCCTAACACATAAACCTGAATCCCTCCCCTCACTGCTCCCAGATTCAACCAGGGCCTCCTCCCCCACCAAGCTGCTTTTAGACTCATCTCCACAGCTCCTGCCTCTCGGTGCTACCTCTGCGCTTGCTGCTTGTCCATGTACACTGTTCACTCTGCTGTGGACAAAAACAGCAAAGGGCACTCTGGGGGATCCTTAGGGAAAAAGGTACCCTGGGCACCTTGACTCTTGGCAATTCCTTTGGTATTCATCATGTTTGCTAGCTTGTCATGTATTGCTGAGTAACTTTGCTCATTGTCCTATTTGGATGTGTGACTGGGAAGCCCTGAGGAGGATCTGCAGCACTGCTGATACCCGATTTTGAGAACATCACATACTAACAGGCAGGAGGTAGGCATCACAGAAGACAGACCTAACGTCAGACTGCTCCTCAGCTCTGTGACTCTTGATCTTTTGGACCTCTGTTTCTTACCTGTTTTCTCACTTAGGCCTATTTTTCTGTTGCTTTCATTTTATAAGACTCTCCTACTTCTTTTTTGCCATATATAAATATTCCATACAATTACTGTTAAGCAAATCAACAAGTTATTGTTTTTACCTTCTAAGAAATAAGACAAGTGGGCCATGGGGGTCATCATCAGCATTCTTCAGTAGCAGAAATGAAATATGAGAAAGATCTGCATCCTGACTTTAGGAGTATTGTCATCCCAGGAGGGTAAGATATGAAATAACGAACCACAGCACAACGTGTACAATCAAACGTGTGTTATCTGTGTAGAGAAGCAGATGAGCTATAACTGTCACTATAGACAATATCCAAAGTGAACCACCATGGGCCTGGCCTTGAAAATGAGGTGAGGAGTTGGACAGGCAAGCCTAACAGGAAACGAGCTCCAGACAAAGACACAGCTTGAGCAAAGCACAATTCCTGAGCCAAGAAGCAAAACTGTCTGACAGCTGCGAAGGTCAAAAACTCAAATATCTACA